TCTGTCTCATCTGGAGCAGATGAAATATAATATTGAAAATCAAACACTAGATAGCATGTCTAAACACATTTATAGCCACGTATCATGATGTGCGTCTGATATATTAACATCGAATGTTAGAACATTTAAGAGTTGTCTTGGTTTTCAAATTAACACGTGTAATCGATGTCTGTTAGATCATCCGGTTCGTCGCTGTTGCGTCACCCTGTTTCAATTAGAGAACAATTTATTGAACAGTTTCTATATTTGTACAAATCTACCCCAGATAATTCTTTGCGTTTTAAAGTCAGCAACACTGTCTTTTTATTCTGTTTTCATTATAAGAACACGAAATCAACACCAACGGTCACCGAGAACACTCGGCTGTTTATTTCCGTTAGAAAACATGCCTCCGATTCATTTCTCCCTCACAGTGAAAACTATTTTTGATGTGCGTGACATGCACTTCTGTTCAATTACGACCAATAACTCGCAGACTCGTTCGAAGTTATTTCACTCCTCACAATACCACAGATTCAATGATACTCTAGATCGTACCAAGCGACTACGGTGTTCCGGGACTATGCAATACTTTTGTTCAACATATAGGACATTGATACCGTGACGATTATTAGTGATTATATTACATCTAGCTGCGAACGAGGACGAACAATACGATGATGACGTACTCCGACGAAGCCAGCTCTTGAAACATAAAACCCCACAAACTATTGATTACGGTATAACTCATATTAGAAGAATTGAATATGCTTATTTCGTCTGACAATGTAAAGTCATTCAATTATAACAACTCACGTACAAGCCTGAACTGAGTAAGTCTGCTTATTTCGCATAGAGAAAGACAGAACCAGGATTCGGGGGTTGATTTTTCAACACATGGTACGAGCTTAACAATAAATAACCACTTTACTCGAGTTACCGGGATGACGGGGTCAGTGTTAGTTCTTGTGATTTATTCTACAATATGCCTTCGGTACACTCTGAAAAATGTATTATGTATACAAATAGTTGCTACAAGTGTACTGCTTATGCTGACTTCAATGGCAACACGTTATCACGCATAACCACATTGGTATTGCTAACACGGTGAATAAAGGTGGACACAGATAATGAGAATGCTTGCAAGCACTCTTCTCTTGAAAATGACTCACAACCACCGTCGTTTGACAACAGTCGTGTTCTCCGTTACCTCGCGGGTGAACTGGATCCTCAAACAAATTTAGTAGATTGTTATCATAATCGTGATTGTGACAACAACGTACAAACAAAAACAGCCCCCCTCCCCCTTCAACGTGTATACAATACCTCGTATTACCTCCCCATGACCTTTCAACGGACGTCTGTGGAACATCCCACCCAAGACGGTCAATAGTTAATACTCCTCTGTATACAGATGAAATATACATTCAATGACTTCGTCAATTATTTTAAGATCAAATCTCTCGAAACTCTGGTGAACTGTGGGTCATTTCATCTTTCAATATGGATTACATCACACAGGCTTATTAGCTGCAATCCCGGGACTATAAAATATTGCCAATTGTGTCGTGTTGCTGAATGGACGCAAATGTAGAGTAGTTATTTTTTAATATTATAATCATTGGTTTATCTTTATTAAGTAACCTGATTCATCGACCACGATTTCGTCACGGTCACGTGACATCCCAATAATAAATATGATTTATAAAAAAAATATTCGGCATAGATTTGAAATATTACAGGAAAATCTTACAGTATGTAAATACAGGTAGACTAGTAAAGTAAAATAACGATAATAATCAAAACTGTTACTAATCAACTAAGACAGGGAAACTTAAATCGCCCAAAATCTCTGGTCATGTAGTTTTATATTAGTATATTTAAAAAAATCGCTATTATCAGAACTATGACGTCATAGCTTTACATTTTCACACGATAGGTTAAAGCTTCATTTGCAACTAATTTCATTTCACCCCTCCCCATTTAACTAAATTTGTTTAATTCTAATGATGGGAATTATAACAATAATCAAGAATGGTCCCTCAAAACGCCATCTTGGATCATTCCGACTGAGAAGGGTCTCCTCATCCAATGTGGCGCTATTATTAGAATTTCATATTAAGCACACCGTGAAAAACCTTTTCATGCAAATAATTGGAAAACTATTAAATATTGTTTAAGTCTTTTTTTAAACAAGCACGATTATATATTTTATTTTAAGGTGATGGTAACTTAAGTTTAATGATTTAGTTTCCTGGTAGTCAATAAAAAATGGCCTAAGAAGGTTTGTTTTGCAGGAAGAGAAAGGTTATTTGAATATCTGGTATTGTAGTTACGTCCAGAAAAATATAATTACGCGGGAGTATTATCTATATTAGACATATCTCTACATAGCGGAGAAGGTTACGCAAAATACCACGCAGGTCACTACACAAGATACGGCACAGGATATACGTGATATATATATAGATAGATAAATTCCTAGAAATTGCATCTTTGTGTCATATGAGAACTCAACCGTAATGGTATATGTAATACAAATCCCAAGTTAGTTCTCGTGTGTTTACAACGCTAATTTGTAAGTAGTAATTTGTCGAAAGGTGTAAATATATATTCAGACGGTCTGGTTAGTTGGCGCCATCAATTTATAGCTGACAGTTCTACACTGTGCACTTGTTTACATCCGTATTCTTGCTGCTTATATTTTTAACGTTTACTAATATGGTGCCGATGTGATGAATCCACTCAATAATTATACAGTGTGTTAGATTACGTAACTTTCTTCATGATAGTAAAGTTATAGATATCAGTATAATACGAGTATGATATAACAATGCGAGGTTATTAGTTGCGTCAACGTCTAGTTATCCTGATAAAACTCGAAATATATCGTAATATCTCGTAATATATCTTTTAAAGAAATAATTTTAAAAAACGTTAGAACATGGAAATGACGTTTCCGCATGAACAGATTTTTTTTGTATGAAACTTACATGCATAACTAACATCGTCGATACACTCGCTGATCTAAATTAATTTCAAGTTCAGGGCAAGGTCAACACAATATCGCCATCAAAACATCATTCTTTTATTTCTACCATCTGTTGACACGGACCACTCAGAAGCCAGAACCACGTCTACTTTAGGATAAACTTAATTAACATACTGAAACTTCCTTTTTGTAGTTTTTTGTTTATTTTGAAGTGGTTGCTAAACATTATACCCAACAACTTCATTTGTCCGATAATATATTTGAAACTGACAAGGTCAAGGGTCAGCAATTTTTACTGCCAATATGTAATTAGATGTTATTCTTTTGTGGACAGGTTCATGCCCAATCTGACTATGGTCTTAACTAGCAAAGACAAAACACAAACACACTGGTTAATACAAACAAATGTTTCATTTTTGTTTGCTGACTTCACAGTGTACTTTGTTCATCTACAATTATTGTATATGAACCGAGCCAAACATTAGTTTAGTCTAATGGTGAATACATTTAATTTACATTTTAAAACGCTACAGTTATTATTCCCACGCAACGTGGTACAAGGTGTGTATTATATATACCGACCGCGTTAATATAACTTGTAAATATACTATTACTGTGCAAATGTAGACAGAATACGTAAAACGCTATTTTTTGTCTTCAAAATCATTATTGTGACTACCAATATCATCATGATAACAGAGAATATTTTTATTCGAAGGTAGGATCCACTTCAAAGACGGAAGTCTGATCTCCTACAATTTTTACTTAACTACGTTGCAGTCACTAAATGAGACAAAGCGAAGCTCGTAGATAACGTCGTGATGCAATAATATATATTGAAAAGGTTTCCTATTTATAGTAGTAGTATTTTTTATTACATACTCTAATGCAGACACCCAGATGATCAAACCCAGACATTGCCGCAGGCGCCAACGAGCAATTATCCAAATGGCACTAGGATGCGTCATCAAAGCAATTAGTCAATTGGGAATCTTTTTTTTTTAGTTTGTTGTATTACACTAAACTCGCAATGTAGATGAGTACTGTGATACTGTTTTTAATTAGCGTGCATGCACTCTACTTTTTTTCTTGCTCGGTATAGTGTATTTATAGCGAGTAAAGCAATCCATGTATTCGTGATTAAGCGTATACAGGATGGAGTAATTCAATTCGCGGTGTTTATTTTTATCTCGCGCATTCCCCCAAAACGTGTGGAGCAGATAGACAAGTAAAGGACGGAATGCGTTTTAAATTAAGGTTTTAAGCATACTAATATAACGTAAAAGTAAAATAAGTAATTTTGGATATATACTGACCCAACGTATCAAATATTTTATATTTCATAAAATATAATAACTGTAAATGATGATAATGCAAATGTTGAATCAGACAAAATGATATAAATAGAAAAATTTAACACAAACGTGTTATATCTACTAGTTTCGCGTGTTCATCATAATTATACTATTGATACGAAAGACGTCATGGACTTGTATTAGCCACGAACGGAACGTGAACCACACTAACATATACAAGCAAACGCAATTTAGAATTGCAAAGAAAGAGGAGTCAGACGTGCAGAATATGTGCCGCGACTTTAATCAGCAGGAGGTATTGCAGGCGTATTGTCTCCATCATAGGTAAACACGTCTATTCTATGATACGTGTGTGAATGCGCCTAATTTCATTTGCTGACGTAATGATCACGTGACGTTGTTGTATTACATACATATACAATAAGGCATTGATTTCAATAAGCCAGATTGTGTGATACGTCAACAGACAGCTGCATTCGCCAAGATGATTAGAAAATATAAGTGCCTCTATTGGAAGTATTATACATATCTTATTCATGGATTTTCCGGGTTTTATTTAATTTCATCGGGGACTGTGAAAAGCTAACGTTACGCTGAACAATTGTCACTTTTTTCAGTCCTTATTTCACCATACAAAACATTTTTCTCCATGTATAATTATTTTAGTTCACCTGGGCGGAGAGATTACTTGCATACGAAGCTTTTTGTTAAGCATGGGTAAAATATTTTATATAAATATTCAGGGTTTATATATACAATCCTCTAGTACCTAGTTGTCGAGTACTCATTCTCCTTCTCTGGAATCTGAAAGTGAGAACGCAGTCGTGCTCGCTCACCCTTTCTATATTAACTAGGAAATCCCATTTTTTTCTGCGGTACCCATTCTGTAAAACAGCGTTGATTAAAACGTGGGCCAAGTTAACGACTATATATTATATAAGATGTAACATGGACGAGAATTTTCAATGTTGTTGCTGGATAATGTGTCTGTCGAGGATATATTATAGTGTGATTTATAAAGTGAATTAAACACACTGTTCTTGTAATCTTTCGATGAAACAATTACATTCTCAAATACGCATGCGCGCCGATTGTTTTACTATGAACACTAATAATCAACGCACATGCGCACACGTGTTTTTCATTTTCATCGAACGAATATTATATAATGTGCTGTAGAATAAACAATTTTATTTTATAATACAACATAATTCAAGAACATTCAGTGCCTGACAACACTATGAATATATATGTTGCATGTTTAAAGCGTTGTTGAACAAACTTAAAATATACAAACTATCTTTCCGTTAAATAATACTGGGGGTATATTCTAAAAAATAATAAATGAACGATGTATGGAAGCTTGTGCACATATGCCGTGATCATATGGACAGTGTGATTTGTTTGCTTTATTGACTGACTTGATTAATGTTCTCTTTTCTAAGGAGTTGCTGATTGGCCCGCTGGGATTTACGCACTGCCGAAACCAAAACGAGGCTGCCCAGGTGCGTCTGTCTTGCGCGTTATTGACAATTTTATGACTCAACGATTGTTGAGGTGGTCACGCTAGTCGTCGCGTGGAGACGAGTGGGAAGTGAACAACCGCGCATGTTCTGGAGTTGACAACAGACTCGGAACTATTTGGCTTGTTACACAACAAATTGCTCAATATAGCTTTTCAAGTCAGTTGTGGACGGGGCAAAAGTAAGGCAGTTCACACACACAACATTTTTGCGAAATTCACTAACTATAAACGAGCAAATGACTAAGCGACCAACAACATTGTCAACACCCATCCTTTCACATTGGCGCGTCTAAGGTAGAGGGCGCGATTTATATAAAAAGTGTAATGCTAGATTTTATTTAGAAATACGGATGAAAACCGTATTTATTCTATTGTCAGTTGAAACGATGATCGTAGTTTTGTAGTCATCGCACATACTATCTATATATTTTCTTAACTGTACATGTTCTTTTTCACAGGCGCGTCCAGCGTCTGGCAAGAAACCTCGATATTTGTCAATCTTTCAACGACAAACATTTTACAACCGACACTGTGGAACAATTCTCATTTATCCGGGCAATCAACGAATGACACTTTCAATATAGACATATGCACGAGGACACAGGGAAGTGACGCAGATGATGGCGAAACGACTAACAACGCGTGGCCAGCTGGGAAATATTGTACATACTCCATGTTGTCACCGTCTGTGGCCGTTAACTTCGCTCCAATAACGAATAGTACATCTAGCCCTTACAACCACGGCGTGTTAAACGCGTCGTATAATTGCCCACGTGGTTTTACGGAAGGTATGTAAAAACAATTCATTTTCAAAACTGAAGGACGTATGTATTTATTATGCGTATTAGGAAACACGCAACTATGAATGGAGAGTTCCTGACACCCGAAGACCGTACGTGGTTCTGATTTGAATTAAAAAATACAAAAAATTAAATAGCAATTTTATATGCATGTATGTATATAATTTTTTTGATTTGCATTCTTTCATGAAATGAATTTAAGGTAAATATTTCAAGCGATATGTAATATATAATATGTATATGTTTGTTTAAATGAAAAACCTAACGTCTGCATTATATATTACCCAGTACCTTATTGAAACTCCTATTTTGACCATTACATTTTTCAGTAGGTTTGATAGGGATTTGTAGGCAAAAAAGTGAAGATACTGTCTAGTTTCAAAATTAATGGCCTATCGTTTAAAAAATAAATAAATAAAAGACGCAAATACCATTTTCGCAATGACCTCATGCAGAGTGCTTTAACAGCATATGTAGCCTTCATTTCATTGTGGGAGTGTATTACGCAAATTGATTATCCTTCATTTATTTCTTCAGTTATTATAATTTTCAGATCATAATTAGCATATTATGAGGTTATTACGAGGACACCTCAAAGTATGCACGAAGACAGTACAGCGAGCGGTAGTATCGACCGAAACGCAGCGAAGGTCGATGCGACAGCGTACTGCCTGAGTGCATACTTTGAGGTATCCTCGTAATACCCTTATTATTATACATCTTTTCCTTCCATTCCCATCATGGGAATGCCGAAATGCCGAATGCTTAGAACAGAATCGGCGAACTTCTTTGTGTGGAGTCCAGTCAAACCCTGGTGGGAGCCTTGTTTGTTTTTTTATTTTAGAGGACGCTTACGCGCGTAATCATTCCTTATTTGGAATTCGCGTTTCCTAATATAGTAGGATGAAAATACCCCGTAAAATACCGCAAAATTACGGCACGCTGTAACTTACGGCGTTTCGTTGACAGATGTATAATAATAGTATATATCACATGGGTGTTTTCAGGTGTGTTTTTTTAAATACCCAAATTGAAATATATTTTCACTTTAGCTTGCAATACAGAAGTTATTTTTCCGTGCACCGTGATCAATTTCGTTTGCATTATTTTTTTCAATCGCTCGTTGTGCACTGGTCATGTAACATTAACGCAATGATTGATGGATATTTCAAGATTCCACGCTGAATTTATCTTCTGAAAAAATGATTAGAACATGCCAGGCAATATGTGATTTGTGCCTTGAAAGAACTGGAAGACGTATATCTCCTATAAATGTCGATATAATGACCTCCTGATCATCCATCAAATTGCGGATTCTAGTTGGTTTTATTGATTTTTCTCTCGCGCCTCATTGAGTATCAGTCGTTCTGGGTTGGTTAACGACACTTACTTGGTCGAGTATTACGACGTAAGAAAAAATAAGAAAACTTTCTACGCTCGTTTTTGAGATCGAGTTTTCTAAACAATTTTATTTCCAGGGTCATTGATCTGGCCTTTCCCGACGTGGTCAAAAGAGGGTGTTTCATCTCCTTATGTATCACCGTCCCCTAATTCGACGCAGTCTTACTATTGCTGCCAAGCGACGGGAGATACTGAGAAACCCATCCAACTACCAACAGAGAAGCCGTTTCTGCTGTTTCCCTTTGGCAATAAATGTCAGCAAGTCAAGGATATGTCAGTGTCGTTGGAAAAGATTGAATGGAACTTTAATAGAAGGTTTTACTCCGGGCCCCAAACAAGAGAAACACTACCGTTCACCGAGGAGGGAAGTAATAATAGAACTCAGTTTTACTGTTATTATTCAAGGGAAGAGAACAAAGGTAAGAATAAATGGAGACGAATATCCGCATTGCTTCTGTCAATGTTTTTTCTTTATCTTATTTATGATAATTTTTGCAGTTCTTTTGCTACTTTATCTGAAATTGAAACAACTGATTTTCGATTTAAACTGTATTATGTGAAGACAGCCGGCCTCACACTGATTATTGTAGCCAATACGTGCAATAAATAATATATTTTGTTTTGTGTGGAAACAATTCTGAAATATTGGAGCACTGAAGCTAGTACTTGAGAGAAACTATTCCACGTTGTCTAATCACCAATTTAAACATAATTACATTATTATTGCATTTTGATGACATAGTACTTTATTCTAGATGAATTTTAGATTTTTAGATTTAGCTAGATAAGATTCATCATGAACGGTAGACAGCCTGGAGCCCTTATAATACTTGCAAGGATCATTGAGGGGTTTTCTGCAGATCACTCAAACTGGAAATGCAACGTTAAGCCCGTTTTATTTCTCTGACTGCGATTTCCCGAGATTTGGAAGATGATTTTTTTTTCTTTAAAAAGAAATGTTTCCAAAAATGTCAACCTCGATAAGTGGTTCAATAATGTGATTAAACGTCGCTATTGACGCTAAACGTCTTGAACTGAGTTTTCTATACTGGAAAATATTCCGTGAACGTGTGACAGGTGCTTTGAGTCATCAAACTGACATAACTGGTCACGGGTGATCATGATTCCACCCTAACCACTCCATTCAAACTACTGATTTAATGCGAGATGTCAACACAGTGCAAACTCTACCGATGACGTAAATGGGTGACAAGAAAGCCGCCCAAAGTCGTTTAGATCTGAGTTGTGCATCAGTGAAGATTATGTTTTTTGAGAGATTTGATATTCTAGGTGGCGAACTACTACACCGTACCCCCAATGTGCCCAATTATAGCGACATTTATTTTCCCATATACGTAATTTTGACGTCACAGGAGCAATTCTTTATTCTTGTTTATTTTCAACATATAATTCTTATTGTGATTTGGCGCACTACGAAATGAACTTTTACTTCTGCCAGTCACGTGATATTTTGTTGTCGTTTCAGCGAAACCAATTTCGAAGTACGGTTCTCACTACCGTATCCTGGACAGTAATAGTACAGATACAAAGGACGATTCGTCAATATTAATGGGAGTACCACCTGGTAAGTCGATCAGGTCACTAACTTTATATTGGTAATCGTCTAAATACGTCGAATATAGTGTTGTAAAATTAATAATGCACGTCGTACGGCGTCGTGTACGATGGACGAGTTCTGAATCAATACATCATTTGTTTACACGGGTGTCGCGTGTAATGTATTTGTTTATGAAACTCAAAAATAAGTTCCGGATGAAAATAAAATCTTGATATTTACAGACTACCCGCCACCACCTGATTACACGTACATCAAAATTATAGTGGCCGTGGTAATCGTGGGAACACCGGGAACGACATTACTTGTACTTTGCATACTACGTACAAGAAATATACACATGAGAAAGAATTTTAGAAAAAGGGAAAGTTACAGGTGAGTTCAAAGTTTACGAGGTTTGTTACATGAATCGCACTCAGCAGGCTGTGCTTGCACTGAGATGGCTCAACGATAGAGGCAGATCAATCGAAATGATAGCATACGAGCAATGAACGATTCGCGAGTTTCATTGTGATGATCCGTTTTTACCGGTGGTAATATTCTACAGTATTAAAACAGTACCGCTTCTCGCAATTCAACGCTTTACCTCCGTTATTAATCGCGAATAACATATCAATAATGTATACATGCAGCGACTCCCTGGCGAATAATCTTGTTAATCCTGTCATTAAGTCAAATAAGCGCTTTGTAGCTAGAGGGCGCGATTTGCGACAATGGTTTCTGTGTTTGAAATACATCGTATTTTTCAAGGGACTCAAATCTCTCCCTAGTTACCGTTCCCACTACACAAATATTTGAATTAGCCAGAACATATTCGCCAGTTCATCTATAAATTTGCGAGCCTGCTCAAGAATTAGGTCACCTAGGCTTTCCACAACTGCAATATGTTTATTTTGTTTTGTCTAACTCTGGTTGTCATTTTGAGTTGAACATTGGCGGAAATGCTAACATTCACAATTTAACAATTAATTCAGTGACCCTAAAATGTTTTCTGTGAATTTAATTAACAAATCGAAACAATTTAAGTAATTGCTTTGTAAGCAGCCTATTGACCGTGTCCACCCTTAATTTATTCTTAGTGTAATGTACATGGTAATTGACATGGTTCAGCAAGCAGCCATACAAAATATTATAATTACACAAGCCGATTAATAAAATTCTCTGCTACTTGACTTTTCATGAGTGACAGAATGAGATTTAATTATTGATGATAACTCAGTTATAAAATATGTTGTATCACTAACAACTTATATATAATATATCCGAGTTATTTCATATTATTTGTAAATATTCAGTTAAATAGGGAATATATGATTTATGTCGCTGTAAAAAATTACTAAGCACCATATGCGTTCCAGATATGTGTTCATTATTTTGTTAGATTTTGTCGGTCTGTCCCTTAGTATGAAATAAATGAGTCGGGCTTAAAGTGTTGTAATACCATCACTCTCTCTCTTTCTCTCTCTCTCTCTTGACACAGGATGGCGTCTTTCACCTACCAGTCTTCGCTAAGCATGCGACGTTACTCCAATTCACCACCATCTTCGGACGACCATAAAAGCGAAAAACCATTGAAAGGACATAGTTTCAAGGTAATGAGTTAATGCTACACGTTTCTGTGTTGTCCTGCACTTTTCGCAAATGATGCTTGTGTTTCCATGGTTACAAGGATCAGGTGACCAACTTACGATGCAGAGAAACAAACAGAACCTCAACCAAAATCAGCGTTTGATAAGCTTATACCATGCATTGATTCGGTTATGTTGGAAAAAGGTTTAGAATAATGCATCTCATCCTAAAACCACGATTAATACATAATGTTTACAGTGCACATGCCTTCGACATACAAACCGCATTTAGTCGACGTAAAACCGCATTTGGTCGAGTGGTGGCGCTATTGATTATTAATAATTAGTATTGATTCTTTTTTTTTTCCAGTTCCACAATAACCGTTTGTCGGCCAATAGTAACAAAAAGAGATATGACATATGAGCGGATTATATATTGAAAAAGAGCAAACAAACACTGGACGCAGTGCGTTCACTGGAGAATTATGTGACTTTTGTATTACATGTTGCTGAGCTGCAATGAAACAATGTTGGGAAAAACAAATTTCGTCCTACCTTGTCTGGGTTGGATAAACTTATGATGTAATTTGCCTATTCACTGCTCACATTTTTCTGTGCTACTGTCGAGCTTGGATTTTTCATTTGCGGGGAAGAACCCAGAAAAAATATTACAGATTAAAACGGGTGAAATGTGTTGCTGCCTGGCGGAACACGACTAATGCCAGACGGTGTTTTTTACACATGTATATTTATGAGCTGAATTTATGCAATCATTCCAACTCCTGATTGGTGGATATACTTGTTTATTCACGACATGACCTACTATTAAAATTTGAGAGACGTATCTAGCTGTATGTCATGACTTGCAGTTCCCAGCTAGTCTCCCAGTCTCGAAAAATACGGTAATCTCGTATTACGGTGTCGCCAAACATGTGACCTTTCATTTACGGGTGTTGTGTTCTCACATTACGCTGCAAATATCCCAAGCGTGGAAAACAGACACGCTGCTTCCTCCTAGGTTCACGTGTAACCATGAGCGAGGCTGTCGCAATGTAGTGCGTTGAATGTTTCAGTTGCTTTCGTGATTAAGTCACGTGACAGTAATAATGCTAATATATTAAGAGAAACTAGAAAGGATCAATGATTTATATATAGATATATATTTTAAAATTCAACCGTTTTGTCCAAACTTTGACATTATTCGTTATTATATAAAGGGGCCAAGAGAGCTGAGTGTACCGTCTGTTTGCGGAACTAATGTTCGCGGTTGTCCTTACGTTAAGTAACACTGTACTCATAAGCACACAATTAAATACAAATCGTGTATTTTTAAACTATAGATTTGACATGTTGTCAATTAACTGTTTATTGTATCTGAATAATGTGCATTAAGACGTTCCCCTTTTTCTATGTTCACAACTACAGTTCTAATCCACTGTATTTTAATAATTCCCGTTGTATATATTGCTTGCAGTCTGTTTACCAAAATGACGATTTTTGTACTTTTTGTGCTACACTGGTGATTATGTTCACAGAACCGCAAACAAGTCACAAAAAGATGAAATATGTTTTTTCGAATCTTACAGTCGGGGATCTCCGAGCTAGACGATCCCCGTCCGGTAATTGCCCGACCGGCACACGTGGCTGCTGTGTCCGACACAGTTGTTTCATTTGTTTTTGCTCACTGATAGAAGTGACTTACGTCATTGCGTGTAGTTATGACGTCACATTCAGCGAAACATCTTGTAACTGACGCATAAAGGCGAGATCATTGTTAAATTGCCACGTGATCATTTGAGCAAACAGTCACGGTGTTGGGCGCTGGTGACGATATTACTGTCTACTAACAAAATGGTACAATGACATCAAATTGACCAACAAAGAAGACGTGGCAAGTACTGATCGCAATAGGGTACACACAATAATTTTGAAAGGTAAAGACACAGTGTCTGAATTCATATCATTAATTTATATTGACTATGGTTCAATAACATTCATACATTATATATGTATGAACACATGGACCTGTTTTGATATGCACAAATGTAATGGGTATCCCCGCATTCTGGGCAGCAAGTGATATTTGTTATAAAGCGCGGCAGTCGTCGCGCTGCGCATGTGCGACATTTGTGTTGAAAAACATTGATTTTCCCACAATCCAATGTACTCTTCTATTGGAAATCACAAGTATGAGGTTTCACCTTGGCGCGACTTGCACTAATTAACGCCTTCCAACCTTCCAACCACCTAAAAAATACCTAATCATTAAAGCTTCGTAACCTCTCAGTTTGTACTCATTGATCTGCGCAACTGTCAAAGTCGCCATCTTTGTTTATATGAGACCCATATATCTCGCGCATGCGTGGTGCAACGACTACTGGCCTTTAAACTTGCATAAAATCAACAACTTAGCCGTGTACAATTGTATCGACAGAACACTCTACATATGGTTTCACACTGCAATGTCTAGATGACATTCCGCATAAATATGTGCGATAAGTTTGTAGCCTCTAGCGGCGAATCAATTCTGTGACGTAAATGGTTGCCAAGATGGCCGCTCATACTACCGATACGTGTTTGTCCGTCGATACAAAATAATTACAACACAACCAATCAGATTTGTCTGTTCGAACGATATTGATTACGTACATGTACACTACGTCACGGATCCCTTTGTCGCTTGCGGGCGCTTTCTATTGGAAAGGTGTATTATTTCTGTAAAAGATTATCAATAGACCTCTAGTCAGTTTTTTTCAGCACTGCAATATTGAATAGCGAACACACTCCGCTATAGTCTCAGGGCAGAAGTTATGACGTAAGTATAAAGAAAGACGTCGTCATTTCTTGTGGGTTGCGCCCTCTAGCCCCTTGTTGCTGATACTATAGGTGAAAAATCCACAAAGTGTAATGGTCCATTATTTAAAATACAGTGTTAGAGGGGTGAAATATTCTTAATAACGAATCACAACCAGCTGTGAACGAGCCTGATTTCACCCGTCTTACGTAGGAGACGCTGCATATTGGAAGGAGAAAATGAGAACCCTGTTTTCGGCACGTCATAACGGCAAATTAATCAAAGCCAGGAGCCTACAGGAAGACATCTTCTAAACATGTTGTAAATAACTGTCATTTCAGTTGACGTTTTGTAAACTTTATATTCATTGTAACATACTCTACCTTTTTTAAATCATTGTAACAATACATATACATTTATTGACTTCAATAAATTTAAATGTAAAAACCAATAATTGAAATGTTTATTACAGTCAATGCATCCTCCTTGCAATCTCCATGATTACCTCTATATTCGGCGCCAGGAAAAAAGAGGCTTGGGGGAGTATATTATGAAGAGTAATCAGGATATAATATGACGAAAACAGAACTAGAAAACAAAATGTATGTAAACATAAACAATAAATTATTATCATTACTTCATTGATGGTTCCATTATACCCCATAAAGTATGATCTAACAGAACATTCCAAAGAGAGAGAAAGAGAGAGAGAGAAATTTAAATTGTTCTACATTGTATTTACAAAATTGACACCAGCACTACCTGCTCGTTTAAACTAAATAAAATCCGCTGTTAGCATTATTATCCGTCACGTTTGAAACTGAATGTACATAACAATTTAATTATTTGAAAATATCCGGGAAAAAACAACACATTTTACGTTCTAAAACATAAAATTCAGCTAGGTATGAATTTGCAGTGTAATGCATGTTCCCTTTAATTTTGAAAGGCTGGGAAAATTACACAAAAATGGTACTCGTCTTCTATATTCATATTGCTACAATAGATGCGTAGTCTATCGTGTCTAGGAACGTTACAGTGCCTACCGGGGTTAGTTATGTATTGCCACACATAGCCTGCACAGTGCTACCTTGAATACCATACTGCCAGTCTCAATATCATATTCTAAATTCAAGTTTAATTTAACGTTCGTTTTGGTTGAGCTTCACAATTTGTATTCAACTCGCATTGGCATATATTGTTGAGAAATCGACGTCTCCACAAGGTTATTTAAAGCGGGGGAGTCGTCACCTGCGCACGCGTCAGATGACCATAGCATATTGTTTATAAACAAGCGCCTACCCATGAGCCGTTGCGTTTTTAGCGTGTGTTGATATCGTGTGTTGTTATCTCAATTCCCGCGCGTGCGCAGATGAAGACCCCCGCGCTTTAAATAGGGATATAAATGCTATATCGTCGCTTGGACCTTGGTTGATCTAGACTTCACCAACCGTATACGTAGACAAAAGCCTTTTTTTTTTAAATTCCAAACACATTTTGTTGTTTTCTGCAAGCGCCAACTGAAATTCATTTACACTGAGAAGCATAGACATCCGCATTTATTTCTAGTATACGGATTAAATACTTCTAATTACAAATCTTTATGACGTAATTGTGCGCTGCCTTAGTTCACCTCTAGCAGCGAAGTTGGATGTTATGGCAGGTCAATTTGGTACATATCCATATTACCCAAACTTCACTGATATTTGACAATAACTTTTTAATTACAAAATAAAAGATTTGTGTACCAGATCAGTTGAATGATTTTGCGCTCTGTAAAACTTCCCGTACTTGTCAATATAACCCTCAATTCAATGTAGCGTGTGACTACTGGCAGAACACAACCCTTATAAACCATTATTCTGAAGCATGAAATCTTCCTTCTTTTCTAAATACAACAATATTTCCCTTTAAAGCAGGGGTAGTCGTCACTTGCGCATGCGTCAGATGGCCATAGCGTGTCATTGTTTACAAACAAACGTCAACTCATGAGCCTTTGCGTTTTTAGCGTGTGTTGTTATCATCGTTTGGGACTCAATTCCCGTGCGTGCGCAGGTGACAACCCTCCCGCTTTAAACTAATTTTAGAAAACTTGTATAATAACAGTTGATGGTGTACACGGTCAAAGGTCATATGCACAATAAATCAATAACCAATCAATAACATGTAACGTTTAATTAGAGTGGCGATGGTGAGCAGGTTATCAAGCCACTCTAATATCCTAGTATTTAAAGCGAGGGAGTCGTCACCTGCGCATGCGTCAGACGGCCATAGCGTGCCATTGTTTACAAACAAGCGTCTACCCATGGGCCTTTTCGTTTATGGCGTGGGTATCGTCGCTTGGGACTCAATTCCCTGGCGTGCGCAGGTGACGACCTTTCCGCTTAAAAATTAATGTAAACACTTGGAGTAAAGATACCCTTCTGTTAGCGTCATTCTTGCTTCATCTTTTTATGCAAGGGGAATATTGTAGCCTTTGTCCAAATTATGCGGATTGTAGCTTTTTAGTACGTTCCATGTTCTGCAGACAACAAAATTGACATTACATTAATCTAATTATTAACTTAGTTATGGTTGAGATTTGAATAGAATTGTTCTGATAACTCATCGAAAGCACTTCTTTCAAATAA